CCCCCCCCCCCCCCCCCCCCCCCCCGCGGGGCTTCGTGTCACCCAGCACCGGTTTGCCTTTACCCGTCTCCAGCGCTCTGCTTTTCCACGGGGGTCTCTGGTTTCCCCACAGGGTTGGGAGGAAGAGGGAACACCTCCCCCATGGCCGGCAGGCTCCAACCAGCACCCACAGCCCTTTCCTCTAGCACCCCGGGCACCGTCTCCAAGCAGCAGCAGGGGAGAGGCGGGGATGCTGTTCCCCGGGGAGGCCTGGAGGCCTTGGTGCCTGCGCAGGGTAAGAAGGGTGGCATATTTGGGATGCCCGGGGACAGGCATCGCTTCAAGTGCTGGCACACAGACATTCCTGCCTCCGCGTTGGTGTGGGGCCTGGGAGACGTTGCGTTTCCCTGGAACATCTCCCCTCTGTACAGTTCAAGCACCTCAAGCGTCTGCCACCTCATGAGCTTCCACCAGGAATTAGACCCTTTCAGCGAGCGTTTCCATCTCTTACCTTTGCATCAACTTTCCTTGTGCACCCGTTTAGGTCTGTGGCTCCTTAGCCATTTCCTCACACCCTGACACAGATGGTCTTTTATGGTGGCAATCACTTACACATACAGGCTGATGCTGAGATTTACCCACAGTGGGACCAATCTTCTGCAGAGGAGGAATATTTATCTGTATTTATTTACCAGTAACTAGTGATTGCGTTGTCTAAAGGCGCATTCACAAACCCCCTTTTCCCTCTACCTCAGCACATCCCTGAAGATCTGGGGTACAGACGGACCAAGGGCTGAACCACTCGCAGTATGCAGATGGGAAACGCGCAAGGGCAAGGCTTGTATAAACTGCTCTAGATCCTGCTGAGACTGAGCTGTGTCCAGGGTGGAGTGTCAAAGGGTCCTGTTCACGTTTTCTTATTCTAAGCCACCCTCCTTTAGAGCCCACCAGCCACCTTGCTATCTGCCCGATGAACCGGGCACGAGGTAGCCAGCCCTTGGTTTTCAAGCCAGACAACTCACGAGTGGTTCCGTGGTGACTCCAGGCAACTGGCGGCAGGGCTGTGCTGGAGCAGAGTGCTGGGTAGCACAAAGCTACCTGGAAAGAGGCTGCCACTGCCAATTCTGATTTCCCATTTCTGTGCTGTTCCTGGAAAGAGGCTGCCACTGCCAATTCTGTGCCAATTCCCATTTCTGTGCTGTCCTCAGACCTCCCTTTCCTCCAGTCGACCCCACTGTACGTGGGAGATGTCGTGTGGCTCCCAGGCCGTCTGTAGGATTGAGAAGAGTGGCCAACCCTGGATCAGGCCCTTCCCACTGACTGCCATAAAACCTGGAGACCAGCTTACTGCCTTCGAGATACGTCCGATAACGTATTGTTCCCAGCAAGTCTACCACACCACATCTAGGTATCAAATAAAGCATAGTTTATTTGGCATAGACTGAAATGAACTGCAACAGAAATGTAGGTAGAACAAAGCCTAGTTACACAAACCGGAACGAGTGCAGTTAGAGTCTCAGTTACAATCTAATGACTAAAGAAGGTAAAAAGTACATTTCAGAAAGTCTCCCAGTCTTGTCCTTTTCATTCAGAGGCATAGTGGCTCGCTGATGCGTTGTACCTTTCATCGTTTAGAGAGATGTCATCACAATTACAGTCACTATTTTTCAGTTACAACGAATTTGGTTAGGAAATCAAGAGACCAATCTACAGGCTGCTCTTCAAATACCGTTTCTACTTCAAAGAGCACTGGGAGCCTCTTTTAGGGCTTTCAAGTTGAATACATGAACCTTGTGCACCAAATAACTAATACTTTGATATCTGCCAAAAGAGTACTGAGGGGGTGAGCAAGCTCTTGCTTTATAAACTCCAAAACCACACACTAGGCTTTCTCAACCCTGGTTGAAATGTCACAAAAACATAAAGATACAGACAATACCAGACTAACTTAAACAGTCTAACAAATACAAATTATACTAGTCAGAGTCACTGAGACTGGCCGGTTCGGCTATGAAACATGCAAATCCGTTGTGCTATACTCCACTAAGAGTAATAAGTGAGTTTTTACACTAGGAAACAGTATCTTGCAGATCATGCCAAAAATGCCACTGTCTATAAAACCAGACCAGACAAAGCATTTCAGAATATGCCATTAGAAATGCTTTAACAGCTAAAAAAGGTTTGATTAAATGAGGACTTTCCTAGATTCATTTTTTATGATTCAGCAAATCACCAGTCATTCATGTCATTCAAAGAAAAATACTTTCAGTTCGTTTTTCCATGACAGTGTCACGACCTAATAGTTATTTACTCCAGTTATTCTCCATAAATATTCATATTTTATTTACAGATTTCTCTAGTCTTTTAGAGATCTTCTTTAAGCGTTTTCAAAGATGAAGCCAAAATTACCTTCTGCAGTGAATGAGGTGAATTAAGTGAAAGCGTTTGCTCTACAACATCTACACCCGGTGCTTCACTTTGTCTTCATTTTCGTTTTAAAGTCTTTGTAGACTAGGAGTTATACCATTTGAGGGTTAATCACCAATCACCGTTACCTAGGGAGAAGTAATTTCAGTTCTAGAGAACTCGCTTTCTTTGAAACACAGAAATTACACGTCCCTCTTTTAATACCGCTGATTCAATTACAGCTAATGTGAACTGATTTTTAAGTTTTATCTGTACACTATGTATTAAACTTTGATACGGTTTCAGAACTGAAAAGCTAGACTTGATTTAACTATCAAGTCAGTAACAAGAATTAGTTTTGAATGACAATGCTAAGTGGATAAAATGCTAAATTATGTGCAAGTCTGTTTTTCCTTCCAGACCTTCAGAACAACATAAAACTCCAGCTGTACCTAGTAAGAAACAGGCATTACCGAGTCATCACGTGTGCCGAGTTAATTCCGTCAATGTTAAATTATGAATCACGTAGTCCGATGCCTCAGCAGACAACCCAGCGCCTCATTCCTCAGGTTGCGAGTTAAAGATCAAACCACGCCGGCTCCGCTGTGTCAGCAGAGCCCTAGGATGGGCCGTGCCGCTGTAACGCACTTACCTTTACTGCTTGATTAAAATGACGTGTGAAGCTTCTAACCTGTCTTCCCTAGGGTAGCAGATCACAGGAACTGAGTAGGCAGCGGTATGCTGTAGGATTTCGTCTAAAAAACCCTCAATCCAAATGTTTATGAACTGCTACTGTATCTGCCTGTGGACTGTGTTTACTGACATCAAAGCTAGCAGGTTAATGTGAGGTAGTAAAACCAGATGCTATCCTGTAGTCAGTCTGTATTTATATTTAATGGTACCTCAAGAACTGTAATTAATGAGGAAGACAAAAGGAACCGATGTGACTCTTTAATGGAGAAATAAAAAGAGAAAGAAAAATGCAGGTGACAAAATAGGGAGAGGGAAAAAGTGATCGAAAGCTTTAATATAGAATACTGGTTCTTATCATATTTATTTATACTACACAGCTGGGGAAATAACCATTTCCAAACGACTGTCTGACTGACAACAGTTGGATGGCTGTACGAACCAAAAAAGCTCGTAAGCTCAGTTATCGCTATAGGCTCCCCTCTGGAACAGTATAAATAACCTATACGTCATGGGCAGCTTGATACATGATACTTTCATTCATTAAGGATGATGACCAGGTACAATTTCCATTTCACGTCACAAGGCTTATCCCTAATTTATGAAAATAAAGCATATATATTTTGTACGTTTTTATATATATATAAACATATATATATATATATGAAATACACACTGCCGGTCAACTTAACACACATGCGCACATGCACACACACGTATATTGTACACACCCACCCAGTAGCAACATGTCCAATATCAATATTATATTTTGTGTACACACACCCTACATCTAGTAGTAAATAAAATCCCTTTGATGGCAATTCTGCAGGCAAAAAAAAATCAATACAAAATACTTTGTTGTACAAAACTGCATTTTTACAAGATCAACCAACATTGTAACATACCCCTCAATAATGCACTACATCCCTACAAGAAAAAAGAATAATCAAATCTTTATACAATTGTAAAAAAAACAAAACTTTTTACAATATTAAAAAAAAAAAAAAAAAAAAAATTGTAAGCTGCTCTGCAACCTTCCTTTGCTAAAAGTTAGATACATTACACCATTCTAGCAGCAGATTAATAAATAAGGATTAAATAGTCTATTATACAAAGCCATACTGAATGGCAGATTTAAAACCAAAAAGCTTTGCAGATACTTTCACTTCCTACACAAATCTTTTTTATTAAGAATAAGATTCAGTATAAAACAGGGAAACAGCCAGCACTATATCTATATCTACAGAATACAAGGAAGATCCAAGGGAAGTAAAATATTTAACCGTTTATGGCACCTTTACTGCAAAACGTTTTTTAAAAGGCTCTGTTTCCCTATAACTAATGAGTAAAGGGCTATTTATCTCATAGCTTTTATTAAGCAAACTCGATATAACCAACCACACAGTGGCAAGAGACAGAACCAGCCGTTCCCAGCTGCAAAAATGTATTGATTTCCACCCTAAACCAACATCATTCAGGTGTCAAGAAAACAAACAGTAAGTCACAGTCCCGCTTGTACTGAGTTTCCTAATGCTTCTCCGTTCCTCGTGTGGCAGATCCACTCTGTTATTTGCGTTAGGTTACTGTTGCTTAGTAACTATTTTCATGTCCAGCCAAGATGTAGAGATTGCTGTGTGCAGTCGGATTTTCTGTTGGCCTGCTTTCTAACACTACCACTCTGCAATCAAACACAAACAGAATCCAAAATGGTTAGTGGCAAAATGCGAAGGACATGGTATAACTACCGAGGAGGAACAAACTTCTTGTTGCTCACAGGTTTCTACAGATTGGAGGGATATCGGTTCTCCTAAATATCTCGGGTATTTTATTCTTTAAATCAGTTACCTCATTTTCCAGCATCGCTTCTGATAAAAACACTAAAGCGGGATATACAAGGAACAGATGACTAGAAGCAGCTTCTTGAACCAGAATCTGCCCCTCTGAACCACAGGCACATGCAATGTGCTACAAACCTCTTCCAAACTGACATCCTCCACCTTGAAATAAGCTACGCCCTCTGCTTCTATTGGGAAGTTATCTCAGAGCCAGAGTGTTGTGAGGAGGCGCAACCCTCCCATCATCTGCAGCCCGAATATGTTTATACCTCCTACATCTTGCGACAAGCATCAGCCACTAACCTAAACAGTTCTCCTCCCTTCTAAATATTTATCAGCCGACGGGTTTGCAGGGAAGACTCAACCCCATCTCAGCCTTTGTCCTGCTGGATCGTGTTCCTGTAGGCTCCTCTGGAAAGCCTGTCTCTCCCTGTCTTGGCACGCTGACCGGTGTCTTCTACCCATGCTGACCCTTGACAATCACCTCAGCAGCTGATACGGTTGGGCCCGTGACCTCCCCTCTCCCTTCCAACTGCTTAGCTCCTGCGTTTCTCTGCACCAGTTCCTGGGACAACATCCTGTCATTTTTAAGATTAAACTTCTCTCCGCTTTTTGTTTTCTACCTGTGTATCAGGTAAGCCAAATGCGCCACTTGAACTCTGAGTTAGATTTCTCAAAGGGCGCCTGTCTCAGGGTTAGCATTGCACGCTCTCCCCTCCCATGTCGTATTTCTCAGAGTTTTCAAATGAAGCCTCACTCTTAACAGCCTCTGCCCCTGACCTTCACTTCTGCAACTCAGTAGTTCTTAAACGATCCAAGCCAAAAAGGTGCTACCACATCTCATTCACTTGAATGGCAGAAAAGACTCCTGCTCCATTTGTGCAGAGATGGAAAAGTACAAAACAAAGGATTTGCCAGTTCAATGAGACCAGAATGGGAGAAAATGGCTTCTCTGCAAAACTGCATGCAGCAGAAGGACTTCAACCTTCTCTCCAACCCCCAAAAATGCTTTGTACTAAGTTGTTATTGAGATATGCGTATCTTCTATAAAAGTGCAAGCTGAACCAGATGAGACGCTGCTTCCCATCCCTCTGTGTGTTTAGGATGCTCCTGTGTCCACCAGCCCAACGCAGAAATACGAGCCGTTTAAAGGTACCAATTCCAGTATGCAAGAAAGATTCACTGATGGTGGCACAGCACATACCTGGACTAATAAATACAGCATCTGTACCGCAGTGGACCTTAGCAAAAGCTCATTCTTGCAATAAAATGCCCCCTGCTTTGCTGGGAGTAACAGGGAAGGAAGTTACCACTGCCCGTCTGCACAAGGGGGATAACAGACAGAAAAGGCAGAGTATGCATTGTCAGAGGTTGCACTGTGTTTATATTTTTGAGATCTCAGAGCCAGCAGTGGCAAGGAACCTCAATTCCAGCTGCAGTGATCAAGTACGGTGGGCCCTCAGCGACTCAGGTGCAAAGCAAAGACTTCAGCTGTTTCTTGTACAGGCTACCCCTCCTCTTCAGAAGAGCTAGCGCGCTCTCACTCTCTTCCTGGACTGGGGATCCAAGAATGTAAGTACACAAAATTACAGATTACTTACAGAAAGCGAGTCAGAGCCAGGCTTCCCAAAGGCCAAATGAGGGAGCAGAAGATCAGGGATTAGAACCAATTTCTTGACTCATTACTATCTACTTCTACATTTAGCACTCTGGCTATCTGAGAAACCGCAAGTACACGTCCCAGTCCGGAGACAGGGGCAGCTTCTGCTCAGGTTTCAAACCTGGAGGCAGCTGCACCTCTTCGCAGCCTCTGTAGCTGAAAGGAATCATCTGGATGTTATGGGTGAATTTAGACCACTGTGCATTAAAACCTGTATGCGATCGAGTTTGCTCTGCTGTTTCCAGACCTCAAGGTCCAGAGCAGCGAAGATTATTTTTAAGTAACTAGCTGCCAAGATAATTCACCAGGAAAATCCAAGCCAGAAGCAGGCTTTTCCAGAAGTGCACTGGGCACCCTGCTTACCACACGCCACAGGCGGCTCTCGTCTCTCCCTGCGGCTTATCTCCTCACACTGTATTCCTATACGCTTGTGTTTGTGTTCACACTCCTGTCTCTGCAGTGGAAAGTGGGGGAGGTCACAGAGGCGCTTAGTAATAATTTTGGACGCAGATGCAATCACTAATTAAATTTTTGGCTATTGCAGGCAGAAACAGTGTTACTGCCTCCCCCAGGACTGCCTAGAGATAGATCTGTGGTGGGCTGGAAGCCAGTTCCAGCTGGAAGCTAGAAAGCTGGTTTAAATAAAATAAAAGTTTTATGTTTCTTCAAGGTGATTACCTGTCTGATCCCAGTAAGCGGAAAACCCTGGTTTCATCTGATATCTCTTGGGTAACCTGTAGAAAAATGAAGACATTTAGGTCCATTTCAGTGGCAAAATGAAATTTATTGGTCTGAGTTGGAAGGAAAAAAAAAAAAAGATCAGTCTCTTCAAAAATTCATATACAATTTAGTGCAAATTACAGGACTGAATCAGATGAATTAATGCTAAGCAAAAAAGAGTTTTAAATTTCATAAAATACAACTCATTTTAAATAATTTTTGTATCGTGGACTGTTATCAGTCTAGATGACTTGGTGGCACAGATGGAGTATGTTGATCAAATCTTTGTCAGCAGAGACTGACTAGCTTTCCCTGCATTTTCAGAGAGGATGCCATCAAAAGGGACAGTGCTCTTTTTGAAAAAAGGACACTTTTTTTGCAGGGACACTTTAAAAAAAAAAAAAAAAAAAAAAAAGAGAGTGTCGTCTTTTTTTTTTTTTCCCCAAAGGGATGCTGCCAACTTGAGCTTTTCATCCAAGATCCAAGAAACCCAAACGCTGCTTACACCAGATCTGTACCGGCTCCATGCAGAACCAGTTCAGGAGTCTCTGACTGATATTCTTGGAAACAGAGCTGGCTACAGCATGTGTGTGAGCTTTACCAAGAGCAACATATGCAGGCAAGTCGGAGAAAGCAACCAGCAAGCTGAAGCAATGACAATATGGAGCACAAGCATTATCACTAGGGAAGCAATGGAGGAGCACTATAGGAGCCAAAGGATCAAGTGGTAAATGAGGAACAGGAAGAAATTAAACCTGGAGAGACTGAGAGGTTACTTACTTCATCTGACTTAAAGCTTTTGCCCTGCATGCCATGTTTCCAGAAGGCCAGCACACTGTCTTGAAGGCACACTGCAAAGGAGAAACACAAAATCAGACCGGAGCATGGCTTATCTGAACCAGAGAAACCTGGGTTTCTCACCAGCAGTGATACTGGGAAGTGTGTGGAAAAAGTACGTGGTGAGACTTGGACTCCTGGTAGAAGAACCAAACTCCAAAATCACTGTAGAAAAACTGGACTGAAATGACTATTTGGATCTGAGACGCACGTTACTTTTTAAAGTGCAATTCAAAACATACCACACAGACATTCCCTGTTTGCCAGGACAAGATAGGCATCTCTGGTTTTTCCTTTTCTCTCTTTCACTTCTATTTTCTGGATCTTTGTTTTCCTAATGATTCTGGAGAAAGCACCAGGAAGTGTATAAACATGCTACCAACCAAAATACTGTGGGTTGCTGGAAATTACAGATCGTTTGAGTTATTGTATTTACTTCAAAATATATGTGAGTATGAAAAATGGGAGGAGTCTTCCATTCAGGGCCAGAGAGAGAACACAGAAAGCTACCAGCTCCAAATGATTTAATTACCAGACTGCTGAAAATAATGGATGAAGTTCTTCAATATTCTATGATTCAAGCAGTGTTACAGAAACATATTTTACACCGTGTTTTATTTTCCTAAATCCTACTTGTTTTCCTTTCCTATTCCTTCGAGTCACATTTTGTATCTGCTCAGTATTAGCCATGCCCTAAATACACAGAACAAAGGCATTCAGCAGAATCCTAAGAGCGATGTTTGTCACAAGAGCCTTAGACTAATCTTCACCTGCTACTCCCCACTCCAACCTGCAATCAGAGAATGAAGAGTTGTCTAATATCCTGAATTCCCAAGAGACCACTTGGGATGTAAAGAACCGCTCACGTTCAATTCAATGTCGGCTGGTAAGTGCAAGACTTCGGGATAAATGCTTCTGTCTATGAAATCCTTCAGAGTTCAAGGAAAAGGCAATGGTCAAGTCATGTTCTGCATGCGTCAGCAGGAGATATTGTATGATACAAGTACAGCAGTTAATTAGAACATGTCAGAATTTAGGAAAGAATCACAGGCTTGATTAAAAATATCTTCCTTCAGGACAGGCCTGACATATCTAAATAGAGATGCTGTATAAAAGAACGTGCACTGCTTTACCGACTGCTGTTAAAGTACAAAATACCTATGTCAAGAATCTTCTTCTAAAAGGAAGCTGCCTGAGGAACCCAGAAATGCAAGTTGTACAGAACTGCTAACAAAAACAAAAACAAGTTGTGTCTTTACTGATTTTGATTCCAGAAAGAAGTTCAGTTTCTGAGATATGGAATTATTAAACTTATGAGATATTTCTGAGAGCTTATTACAGCAGAAATACTTGCTTGACAATTACAATTCAAGTTTTGGAAGCAAGGCTGCTGTCCTCTAGTAGCCTAAAGACAGCAGCCTGTCCTGTAAGGATTAGATTCAAATACTAATACCCTGACTGTTAAAAAATGGATGTGCTATCCTTTAAATAAAATCTTAGCTTTTAGAAGATTAACACAAATTTATGTATTCCTAAACCATTATTTCCTCCCCAAAGGTTTTTCTCAGTGCTATGGAAATGACCAGAAACTAGTCAGCCTTTTTCTTCAACCAAATCATGATACATTTTACTTATAAAACAGAAGTGACACGCAGTGGAAACACGCGCAGATTTGACACACTATCTGGCAACTGCCTTACTTTCTTCAGCATGTCAGTGGAGACAAAGAGACAGCTCACAATATCCTGACACACGCAATTTTTAGTGTCAGGCCCCACTGGGTGCACTAGACCAGTCTAGATTATTAAAAACCCTTCAACACTCTTCCCTCTAACTTCTTAGTCCTTGAGGGACAATAGAGAAGCAAATCACTTACCCACTGACTCAATGCAGAAATCAAAGCTCAGCTCGGAGGCCAATTTCTTGCTTGACTTCAATTTCCCTTGTAAATTCACAATTTTCACAAATTCTCAAGAAAAACAGAAAAACAAGTATTAAACCCCACTGCTGAAAAGGATTACTGACGTCTTTAAGTATGAAATACTAATTTCATCTTTCAGGCACAGAAAAATGCCCAAACCTAAACATCTACAGTATTTGCCTAAAATGAATCCAAAAGCATCCTTCTCTCAATATAAATATAGAAGACCTTCTTATACACTTCATATGTTTTTAGACTCTACTAACAGCCTTCCTGCAAATAACAAACAGCGCAGAAATGTGAATTCAACATAAAGGTGGGAAATTTAGGCAGACTAAGTCATTGCAAAGTTCCCACCGAGGTGTTAACCTCTGATGCGTGAGAGTTATGGTTATAATTACTGTGTATGATCAAGGGTTAGCTATTTGTCCTGCTAGCATATGCAACAGGAAAATGCCACTTTTTCCAAGTAAATTTTGAAAATTTCTGATTGGCATATATTTGAATTCTGATCTGTAATGCTGCACTACACTTCATTTTGAAAAGAAACAAAAATGATACACACATGAAGATGGGAAGTAGAATCACAAGAGTCAAAATGAAAACCCACTTAACTGAACTATATCTGTTAGGAAATACAACACAAATTAGTAACGAAGGGAGAAAAATTAACTTGTGGTAGAATTAAAATCAACAACTGTGGCAAAACAAGTTTTGCACAAGGTGTAGGAAGTTGCCCAACGGAGACATGTTACTTACTGTCCAGGCAGACTAGGACAGTGTCTTTTTCCAGCTGTGTTACATGAATGGCATCTAACTGCTGATTGCCTTGTGAAAAAGAAAACAGATTATTTTATATCGCATCGTAAGACTGATCTCAGCCTCCCCTCCCCTCAACCCCTCACCAATTGCTACAGCCTTTTCAGTATGCTACAAGACTTTTGCAATTTACAATATTTGTTACTCTCTTAAATTTTTTTAAGGCTATACGATCCCAGAATGTTCTGGGAGGAGTACAGGGCCTAAGGACAAACCCAGCAGTTCAAAGCATGTATTTAATATGAACGCACTACTGTTTATTGGCATAAAATACATTTTATGTTACAGTTCAGCACAGCAAGTCAGCTTCCTTCATGAAGAGGCACTATAACGAACAAAAGGAATCATCAAGGGAATCTTTGCTCCTAAAAAAATGGCTCTTTTCCCATAAATCCACATCTGGAAAGATTATTGTGGTTTTCCAGCTGTGTTACATGAATGGCATCTAACTGCTGATTGCCTTGTGAAAAAGAAAACAGATTATTTTATATCGCATCGTAAGACTGATCTCAGCCTCCCCTCCCCTCAACCCCTCACCAATTGCTACAGCCTTTTCAGTATGCTACAAGACTTTTGCAATTTACAATATTTGTTACTCTCTTAAATTTTTTTAAGGCTATACGATCCCAGAATGTTCTGGGAGGAGTACAGGGCCTAAGGACAAACCCAGCAGTTCAAAGCATGTATTTAATATGAACGCACTACTGTTTATTGGCATAAAATACATTTTATGTTACAGTTCAGCACAGCAAGTCAGCTTCCTTCATGAAGAGGCACTATAACGAACAAAAGGAATCATCAAGGGAATCTTTGCTCCTAAAAAAATGGCTCTTTTCATCCACATCCACATCTGGAAAGATTATTGTGGTGATATTAAGCTAGTAGTTTTTTCTAGTTTTTATTAATGAAGTTCTTGGTACAGCTGCTAAAAAGCAGTATTTAAATGTAAAAAAGTATATCCAACAGAGCCCAGCAGAGAAAAGCATCTGCAAGATATCAACTAGCTTTTGAAGATAAAACAAAATCTTCTACTTATTAATAGCCAGCTGAAGATGACAAGCCTCCCCCAGGGGCTGGAGGACAGACAAGAATGCATTTACGTGAGTCTTTACACAGGAAAGAAGGGGAAAGAGGAGTAAGCCTGACCCCGGGAAAAAGTATGCAACCACAAATGAGAACCCAATCAGCAGGGTCTGCATTACTATTTAAGGAAATTTATAAAATAAAAGACGTGTCTAAAAATGAAGTCTTTTAAGAAAGATAGTTTATACTGAAGTTGGCAGGTCATCACAAGAAGAACCTGGGATCAGCTTCAATATGCTTTAGGTTGAGAAGCTGCATCATTTTGCTTAGCCGAAAGGGTTTCCAAATGACTTCCGAGGAAGGGATATCAACAGTTACCAGACAATAAAACAGGTGCAAGATGGACCAACAGTCTTACCTGCACCAATTTCTGTAAACCATGAAGAAGCAGAGTTCAAGTTGATTGTCTCAAACTGAACTACCTGATTTGGTTCAGTACCCTTACTGATAGCTACGCAGACCATCGGGTACTCCTGCTCTGGTATCACTAGCATTTCAAACACATTCAAAGGGCTTGGCAAAGGAAAATCAAAGTGCTGGAAAAAACATAATAAGGCATTTGTAAAGTTTCCTTTTACCTTGGAAATAAGAAGCCTAAAATAACATGCACAAAGTATAAAAGATACAGAAGAATTTTTCACTGCTACTAAGAGTGCTTTTTTAAGACAGCATGACCTGCGAGCAACATTACGTTGTGGAGAGGTATATGCTAGCCTGTTATTGCTAGTACTGGGCTTGGTCCAACAGTTGACTGACTTTAGTCACAAGATTTTCTTAGTCAAAATGTGTCAAGCCAGATTTTCAAGCGCTCAGAACCCACAAACGGGACTAGCCTGGGATGTACTTTCCATTACAAATTCTGGAAAGGTTATTTCAACAAATGTATAATGATTAAGATTAAATGTTCTAAACTAAAATGAAATACTCACCTTTATTAACATGAATTTCTGCATTGGCTCATACCACTGTAGTAGAACAATTCCAGACTGCAATGCACCACACAGGTATTTATGTCCTGTGTATGGATTTCGTACTATATAAAATAAACAAACAAAAAAAACAGGGGGGAAAAAAAACCCAACATGTTTTAAGTCCAGGAAGTTCAATGCATACTTGAAAAAAACCCTGCAGCTATCTTTAGAAATAATTTAAGAAATAGTGTGTTCCACACTGATCATGGCCTTCTGGCTTGCCATTCAGATATCCACAGTGATTAATATTGTGCTACATTCCAGACAAATTCAATTATACTTATAATTAATAACCACTAGCATTCTTTGAGTCCCAGTAAAGAGGCCACATGCTGAGTCATCGAAAAGCCGTAATAACCACTAGCATTCTTTGAGTCCCAGTAAAGAGGCCACACGCTGAGTCATCAGAAAAGCCGTAACACCTTCTTCCCGGGGCTGTGTGAGCAGGGGGAGTGAAAGGTCCAGGTCAAGTTGTGATTTAAATAAAAAAAAAAAAATTCCCAAGCAGTGAAGATGCCCCATAACTTCTTGTCAGCTTTGACAGCTAATGCAATAATATGATGAAGAGTTTGGGGTTTGTTTTTTTAACCTCAGTTGGATACAAAACCAGCCTGTCTTCAGGAATCATTTGTAAATACGCCTACTGTAGACACTTTACGTGAGCTAAATAGGATATCCAAGTTTGAAACTAGGTACATTATTCTCTGCTTAAGCATTTTTAAGAGTGTAAAGTTACAATTTCACACAGCACTAGGGCCAGTTTTCAAAAGGACATATATTCTGCAGAAAATCCAAGCCTTTCTGAAACTCAGTGAAGGCAAAGACAAATCTGTAAATCCACGAGCTTTAACTCTTTTCTGGGCACTCAGAACTTGAGCGATGGTTTCACTCCTCCCCAGGCTGACATAATTTTTATTCATGTCCAGCCTTTTCTTTGTGGAAAATATTTTTTTCAAGTTAGCATCGCTAGAAGTTGGATCTAGGTCAAAGCTTGAGCCAAACTGACAAAGCAGAAAGGGTATTTGTGCACGTGCAACAAGCCTGGGATTCTGTAACAAGCGTTACGCTCGCAGGCAGTCTGCAGGTCACAGTAACTAGTTGGCTCAGGTGGCAGCCTGAAGCCAGTGACCCCAAACATCGACTTACTCACTGAGAGCTTCAGCAGCTCTCAGAGAGCGTGCAACACCCGTCAGCTGTGTGCTACTGGCATTCTCCAGGGTCTCCCTTTGGATCTTGCTCTAGACAGCAACATTTCCAGGTTAAGAGCTGATACGAAAAATGCTTTTCCACTGAAGAGCATAAAGACCCCCACATTAATTAAAAGGAAAGCTACGCACCAGCTAGGCACAGCATTAAGAAATAATGTAGTCATACTGTTTTCTGAACAATGAACTAATTCTAAGTTCATTAAAAAGAAACGAGTTTAAGCCATGCCATGCCCAACGACAAAGGCCAGGAAAAATAATTGCAAAACTGAACGCCTACTCACCTATACAGCATTTGTGGCATCCTTTTGTATCAGGGATCTTTGTTGTTAAGGCAAACTTCCTGGAATAACAATTATGAAAAAAGGTATCAACAAGAGATGCCGAAGGCCCTTCATGCTACCAATTCAACAGCACACGCAGCATTTATGGGAACTTTCACTTGCTAATAATTGTCTGTAAGTGAAAGATTTGTACCTTGGTAATATTTTGTCAGGAAACCTATGGGTTTGAATATGAGCAGCTAATCCTGTTTTTTTGGCTTGTTCAAACAAAGCTATTAAATTATGGGAGTAGAGCTGGAACGTTTTCCCTGTAAGAGAGAAAAGCACAATTGATATCACACCCATGCCTCCAGCAGAGAACTGCACATTTTAGAAAAATGTATGTGTAGAAAATTACCTTCTAGAGAAATGGAGCACGTGCGCCAGATATTTCAAGTCCAGTTATGAAGAAAAATAAAACAAGACAACAATAATAATGCATGTAGAGAAGACATGGCATTCAACTCAAAGTTCATTTCAGTAACACTAAAGCAGCTCTGGAAGTTAGTTTTATGTACGCATTTTTAGAAGGCTGTAATTATACACCAACAATTAATTATATTCTTTATATTCTTTATCTATAAATCAATAAAAGCGGTGTTACACAAAATCTTGCATGTTTAAAAGCACAGTCCTAAAATTCGTCTGCATGCCGCAGTGCCTCTGTTTCCTATCTAGAATGTCCTATTCCAGGACAACTCCTGAAAAATAGATTTTTTCCAAGAATCAATCTGCTGCATTAGTAGTATTTCACAGCCACCTCACTCTCCTTTAAACTGAGACTGGTTTTGTTTTAGGGTGGATTTATTTTCTGAATCCGGTTCATACCGAAGATGCTGCCAGGCTTCCATACACTGAGAATGATCAAACACTGCATCTACATTTTGATAATGCACTTAGGTTAATCCTCTCCTAATTTTGTTCTGACACGTGAAAGCCATCCACATTCTGACTCTCTTAGCTCAGGGACCAAAGAAGAGGACACTCTTTAGATTCTTTAGGCACTTGCAGTCAAATTGCAGCCTTGGCAGAGGCAACTCGTTTGACAAATACCAAGTGCCGAGCTTTTCCGAACCAAATAAATAAATAAAAAAAATACGGTGCAACACTGCAGACAACTGGCTCTACTACTTGTAAACGTCCTGTTTTATCTCTGGAAGTCTTTTACATTAACACACTCTTGAAGCAAAGCTTCCTATACAAACACAAGAAACAATGCACAGTTTTCTACTTCAGTACAATCGAAATACATGGTACTGAATTATGACTTTAAATGTTTCTCTTTATAAATAGAGGGAAAAATAATAAAATTATAAATACATACCTGACAAGGACATTAAGGTGTTATTGATAACATACAGCCAGGTGCACTTTCGGGGAAATAACTGAAGAAAGAAAATGTTTCCATTAATAGAAACATACAGGAACTTCTAACCGTGGTTTTCTCTGCCTGCTCCACCTCTGCCACCGTTCCTGCAGGGATCAACGCTGGAGAAAGTCCCAGCTGCAACTACATTTTCCCCTTTAATTCACTCTTTGGACCCTTGCTTAGCCCTTTTCTCTGTCCGAAATAGTTTTCATTCCTTCCCTCTTCTATCCCTGAAACTTTCAAACTTCAATTTTTCTTTATTTTTTAATCAGCAGCACAGAGCCAAAGTGGGACAACTGGCAAGACTGGAATACCATATATAGAAAGATAAAGCTTGCTCAGGAATGACAGCCGGAGAAAGAAAGAGAACACTTTTTCAGAAACCTACTAAACACCACAGAAGTCAGAAGAGGGGGGAAAAAAGGCATTAGTAGTTTCTCAGCAAATTGAATTACCACAAAATCCTGTATTTTGTGGGACTTACCTGCCTGGCTATTTGTGTTAGCATGCTGCTTTGTAAACAGACCGTTCACGGAAGGCATTGGGACTTATTTTTGTTTCAGAGGGAAGAAGTGACTCACGGGGCAGCTAATCTAGATTTGAGAAGATTTTAAAGTTAAGACGAACCTCTTGACAACCTGAAGGGAATTCTGATAAAAGTGATGGCAAATGACAGCATTCAGGAGTCTCAATGAAGGAAGGAATAAGGACAATCAGTTTCAAAAAAAAAAAAAAAAAAAAAAAAAAGAAAAAAAAAGGGGGAAAAAAAGGAAAAAAAAAAAGATGACAAGACTAAATTTATTGAATGGTATTGATAGGTAAGGTCCTCCCTCAAGAAAAAATTTCCAATAAGAAAAAAAGGAGTTCAAAGGATTAAGCTGTTTCTGAATATTAAAAAAGACAACAGCAGACTGGTCCGCTGAGGGAAGCTGTTGCAAAACACAGCACGAGATGCTTGAATCAAGGCTCTACAAAAGAATGATTTTACCGGTTCATGCAAATGTCCATCTAACCTAATATCTGTTTCCAACGGCCACCTTAAAGTGACACAATTTCTCCTAAAAATGGTGGAAACCATGGAAAAAAAAATGTATATAATACTGCACCTAATACTCTGCCAGGCACCAAGTTCTTCAGCTCAGAAACCTGCTGAATCAGATACAGGCTTTATGCGTTTAGTGAGCTTCAATAGATTTATCCTCCATCAATTTGTCCAGTCTCCCCTCTGAACGCAGGTAACTCCTAGCATTTGCAGCTCCCCATAGCAAAAAGTCCCAGGCCAGCTATCCATTGTTAATTTTTAATTTGGCTCCCACTAGCTTCATTTAACGGCCTCACTGGAAGAGAAGGGGAATACTTGTTCCCTGTGAACCCTCTCTAAGCCACCCCAAGATGGGTAAATATTTCTTATTTCCCCCTCATGCCTGAAGTATCACAAATCCATTATACAGAAAACTGAAACGAGAACACAATGCTAAGGACGAAGAGGCAATCACAAGATAAGCCTGAAGGAAGAAACGTAAGAAAGGTTAAGATGCAAATCAAATTACCAACATACGAGAAGTCGATAAATACGGTAACTGGGAAAACAAAAGGCTCGGCCCACTGCTTGACAGGAAAGAAAGACTACATGATTAACACAGTTAATAGCACTGGGGTAGAAACTTGTGCTAGAAGCAGAAAAAGAACACATTACACACTATTTCAACTAGATATACTCATGTCAGCAGGTCCCAATAAAGTTTATTTTACAGTACTTAAAAACTGTCTCAAACCCCAAGGTCTCAGTAATGATTATCTTCAAGAACTGATGGAGGACAAACAAGGACCTCAAGAAGGATAAACACAGTACCTATGCCAAATAAAAAGGCCGGTGGGAATTGCAAAATAGTCTGACTGACTGTATATCCAGAGTAGCACAGGAACAAGTCACATACTTTCTAATTACCAAGGGATAAGAGCAGCAGCTAGCGCAGACTTGTGCAGAACAGGCTGTATTTGAACATCTGAATTTCCTTCTTTAACAGAGTAACTGCCCTGCTGGGGACGGTGAAACAGTAAGATGTGAAACATATGTGAAGGACCTTGTCCTGCATGCCATTTCCACATGCAAAATGAGAAAATACAGGGTAGAAGAAACTGCAGAAAGCAAACATATGACTGATTGGACATAAAAACGGAGGATCTATCAGCAATTTGCTACTTAATAGAAGGAAAAAGCAGGCTGTAGATATATAGTATCTTCTCTGGGTCTGGTTCTATTCAGTATTTTCACTGAAAAACTAACAATGGAATAAAAGTATACTTCTGAAATTGGGAGATATTAACCTTGGAGAGACAGCAAGCACTTTGGAAGATGCAATCAGAATTAGAAGTTGGAGAAACAGTTAAAAATGTTCCTTTGGTGGGGAGAAATCAGGAAATGAATAAATCCAAATAAGGAAACAAGTGGCACAGCAGAAGCACAGTTGTAAAGCCTCTGGGGTTTGTAATGGATCATACTAACTGAGGACGCTCTCACAGAAAAGGAAACTTTCATTTTGGCATGCATTGAATGTCATAAGTAGACACTAGTAAGTTCTCTCTACCTACCACTGGCATATCTAACCTTTCAACAGGATAAAAAAAGCACGTGGAAGAGTCCAGAAGACTGTTACATGAAATAATTTAAGAAAATGTACAAGGAAAGATTGCTTTGACTAACAGAGTAAAGAGAAAATTGAGGTAAGAAGGCCAGGGTGTCTCCAACAGCTGCTACCACAATTTTTAGAAATTTATTATAAAAGTAAGTAGTTGTTCCCTATGTCTACTGAGGCTACAAAAAGATAAGCAACTTCATATCAACTCTATCCTATTGCATTCAGGTGCACCCTTAGCTCTCTTAACTTGAGGATTTTTTAATTGTGTTGAATTCAAATTCCCAATTCTCACCATCAAGCCCTTTATAATCTTCTCTCGCTTTTGTCTGTGCCAAACTACCCCCCGACATGACCTTGCTGAACCCCCCTTTTCTTTTGCCCCTCTCCAGTTTTGGCCCCTAGCACGATGCTCCCAGAAACAGAGGACTTTCTCCTCTTAAGCACAGATCTCTGTGCAGTGCCCTTTCCGTGAAATCATCTTTCTCTCACTATTACTCACAGACACACCCACCCTGCCACCTCTTCTGCTTTCTGACCTGTGCCGTGTCTCGACTGAATTTACTGCTTTTTAGAGGCGTGAAGTGCCTTTGTGAACTGCTTTAGAAACCTACAGGTATAAATCTCGTTATCAGCACCCGCCAACACTTCCCTTCCAAGAATACTCTGCTACTCCTGATTCTAAAAAAGCAAGTGTAACAATACCATGATTGCATGAAGTGACTTTGGAAAGGGTTAGAGAGCCCAGGAAAACAGAAGCAAACGCGTATTTATTGGTGATAACAGTGCCAGCTAAATTAAATGGTTGAGGGCTTTGGTAGCATCCAGTGGAGAAGCAATATGCCATCTAGTGGAGATAAAATGGAGAGAGAAAGGGCAGGTAACCGGTTGTCTCCAAGAGAAGAAAGATGTTTTAGTAGAGAACTCCTTTGAAAGCAATGTTACATAAGCAGCAACAAAAAATTCAGGTAGGTAGGGGAACTATTAATTTTAGAACTTCCATTGCTTGCTTTGATGTGAAGCAGTTTATGCCACAAAGCCTGGCATCCCATCTACCCCCTCTAATAGCAAACTTTCTTGCTTCACAATATCCCCAAATCTATTCTGTGTGTTCAGTACACAAAAATCACCTGTTCCATTGTTGCTTCATGAAGTTCATTCAAATTCAAAGTATAGATACCTTCTTCTGTGCCAAAGATAATGTACTGATCTAAAAATTTAAGAGAAATTGATTATTTCACAAGCTCATTACCACTTCGGCAACAGGCAGGTTTAAAATACAAACCTAAAACAACTCTACCTTTAGTATCTGGATGTATCCATGATGTTGCACAATTAATCTTCAAAGGACAACCATCAAAGACTTTGGAAAAACACGCTCCCATCTGAAAGACACCAAAACTGAAACCTGAAACAAGTTTACAGTATAAAGCCTTTATCTTCTGGCACTTGGTCACTTAGTACACACCGCTGCTCTCTTTTTTCAGACACAAACTTACTCTAATACGCTTTGATGCAACACTTTTCTATATTCCCCAAAAGCTACAATGCAGCCTTCCAAACCTTTTCATAGACTTCATATACATTAAGAAATGCAAAGAGGGATCAGAATGATATGAACAATTTTAAGTACCTACTGGGCAAGAACAATATTGAGTGCTTATATAAATGGCATATGAAGGGAAAACAAGCAGAAATGTTGAAGTAGTAACACCTTCTCGCATCACTACCACCTCTCCCCCTTTCTCTTTACTAAGCAGAGGCTGCCACTGGAGATCACAATCCACAGAGCCAGTGAAGTCTCCAACCCTTCGCATCCAGACTGAATGGTGAAAGGAAGCTCTTAAGAAAAGGAAACAAATATTGTGCATTCAGTACACAAAAAGTAACTGGCTATGAGATGCAGAACATCACTCCAGATGAGCTGGTGGCTTGTTCTAGCATAAACCTTCTGACACTAGAGAGATGCCATGATAGCAGGCTTCCAGTAACTCCTACTGCAAGTGCGATTTCTTACCAGCACCTTCGGTGTTGGTGGTAAACCATTGATTGCTGGCTTCTGTGGGAAGAAAGAAAGATCATAAAATACCTCCCACGCACTGATATAAGACTAGCTAGCTAACATGACAGTGAAATCAGACTGAGAGTCACAATACTTACAGGAAAATCTCTTTTCTCTTTTTTACGTGGCAGCTGAGGGATTTGTCCAGACCCTTCTGCATTTTCTTCAATGAGTTTCAGCATGCCATCCCCATTTCCTGAAAAGAAGCCCAGACGCATTTTGTAGCTCACTTGACATAGTGAAAAAGAAAATATTTTGTTGCCCTATTCTCTCTTCTCCCCTGTGTCCAGCAGGAGCAGAGAAGTGAGCTCTCAAACTTCCATATACACATCCCAGGTAGCTGAACCCTTCCGAGGACAGCTGGCCACTCTTCTGCGTGCTAAGCTATGCAGTAATAAAGGCTTTCCATTATCCAAACAGTCCTCAGGCCAAACACAACTGAGAATAAAGCTGTGGCAAGGTCCTCGCAGATGATCCTCCCTGCACATTCATTCTTTTTCTGCTATTCCTGCAGGCAACACAGGAATGGTATTGACTGGCTGAGTGTCCTTGTTTTGGGAAGAACATTTCCACCATAGATCATGGCTCTAATCATAGAATCATTTAGGTTGGAAGAGACCCTTAAGATCATCAAGTCCAACTGTAAACCTAACACTGTCAAGTCCACCACGAAACCATGTCCCTAAGCGCCACGTCTACACGTCTTGTTAAATACCTCCAGGGATGGTGACTCAACCGCTTCCCTGGGCAGCCTGTTCCAATGCTTGATAAACCCTTTCGGTGAAGACATTTTTCCTAATATCCAACCTAAAACTCCTCTTCTAATAAGAACCAGCCCACCCGTAAAAAGGAAAGCTGCACCTCGTGATCAGCTTGTATTAAAAAATTATCTACTGAAAATAGCTGACTCTAGAACTGATTTCCTTTTACAGGATGCAAGTCACCTTTAGGAAATGGAATGCATTTACCTAAGTCGCTGTATCTAGCTGTGAGCAATCCAGGGCTACTGATGCTGCTGGTCATACCAACGGGGGAAGAATCAGTCTGAGGCCCACCAACAGGGATACTTTGTCTCCTGTGAGCTGGTGGGGCTCTGTTCTGCGAGTCTGGGAAATGTTTTATTGTCTGACATTTCTCATCATCTGGAAGGTTTTCCTCAGGATAACTGTTTATTCTCGGCTGCAACAAACAGAAGAGGTGAAGATTACCTGGGAAATGGCACCTGGAAACATAAACTTCAGACAAGTTGAATTCAAGTCAAACTGTTCTACACAAAAAAAAAAAAAAAAAAAAAAAAAAAAAAAGGTCAGCCTTTGAAAAAAAGGCATTTGACAGCAGAATAATCAAAGAGATATTCCTTCTCTGATGGAAAATCACAGCAGCAGGCAGAATGCTGAACGAGAGGACATCCCACGCAGCACGCTCTCTTTAGAGGGGAAATACCTACAAGTCATTACGCTGCCCCTTGTCTAGGGCAGCGTACAAGGCCAGGAGTCCCAAGAGGTCAAGACGGTACAGACTGCAAGTCAGCATCAAATATGAAGCTGCACGAAGTCTGCTAGCAAATGGTACTTAGCAGAATTTATAACCTACTGAGAGCATCAGACGGAAGCGCTGCAGAGGCTGCACTAGTGGGGTTTGCGCCTAAAACTCTCAAAACCCACCATCTCTTACCTTAGGAGGTAGCGGAGGTGGCCCTGCTCGCTTTAGTGTTGATCTACAATGAAAAGGTGCAGTAGTCGTCTTAGTTAAACCAACAACATAAACAGAATTACTTGAGAACACAGACTGTAAATAAGACAAGCTAGATGCATAGAAAAGACAGATCACAGCTTTGCATGAACAGGGTTAAACTAGAAGTCAGAGTGGGAAAAAAGCACATTAATCTTGTTAGAAGTGGTGGTTTTTGATAAACTGATGTTCTTTCATAAATGCCAATGTTACAGAGCATTCTGTGGTGAAGGGTATTTGAAATTAGCAAATAAATATACCTTCAGGGACTAGTTTGGTGCAGTTTGCAGCTTTCACTCTGGATCAGACAAACATTTGGGCACCAGAGGAGCTGCATATACCCCACCAGAGCTCTGCAAGAATATCTGCACGTCCTGTCACTACTGGGCCTGGCTCACGATTGATGGATTAATCAACACAAAATCTGCTTTAAAGTATTAGGCACTTCCATATGCGCTCTGAGATAACCTCAGGAAGGAGAGCAAGGGAAGAAAGCATTGCTTTGCGGACATTCTCCTGACGATCAGATAAACAGTCAAGCGTGGGTTAGACCTTTGAGTGCAACCAGCCCTCGCTTATTTATGAGTGGCAAAGCTGCCTGCAGCATTTTAAGGAAAGAGGTTTTGCCAGAACGCTGCCTGCTTTAGCGAGAGCCGCACGGAGTAAACACAACTGTACACGAAGGAGGTCCACTCACTCTTCAACATCTTCACTCCCATCGCCAAATTTTGTAAGCAGTCCCCTAGGTAAAATGTTTATAAAATTAAGAGCTCTGCTCTTAGGTCGATGTGTGCAACTAAATCGATCGGTGACGTCATTTAGTTTCATAACAAGCATCTCCCAGCCCTTTTCAAAACAAAGTATTTCTCTCTTATTCACTGCCGTAAGCCCTTTTTCATTTAGTATGGTCCTTTCCTGACCCTCACCCCCCAATAATCACTGAAGCTCTCTTCCATACCAGATACCATCAACTCATCTTTCATTTCCCTACCTGGTATTTTAAATATTGTTGAAATGCCTAATAACAGTACAATATAAAAGAAGAAGGGGAAAAAAAAAAAAAAAAAGATGAGAACAGAGGAAGTTACTGGGAGACGAATGGAGAAAAGCCTTTACACAAAGGGAAGTTTCCTCCTTTAGTGTTATACGCTAAAGACACAGACTGTTTCCTATTATAGTGGGAATTTTTGTTTCAAAGCTACCCCAGGGTCAAAAAAGATATCGTGACCAGAGGATCAAAGCAGCAGTGAAAATAAAATCCTGAAACAAACAAAAACTGATAAAATTTTGCAAAATGGCAATTTTCAGGCTGTGTCTTAAAAAAAAAAAAAATTAAACTGCATTAAATCTAAAAAAATCTAAACGATAAATCTAAACCCAATAAAAAGCATTCCTTAGTATGCTGTTGTGGTACTGTGAAATCTAGGCTCTGCATTTAGCAATCACGAGGTGGAAGAGACAGCCCGGTGCAGTCCAAGTCTCTGCCTGCAGAGTAGACACCTCCGTACCCCACCAACTCACACATCCTTCCACGTTCCACAACACACCACATCACCCACTGAGGAACGACCAGAGGGGTAACGAACAGGAAAACAAAAGCATATTATACAAAAACTAACCCAGCCAAGTTTGGATTAAGGTAAAATTTCCCTGTAAGTTACTTCTGAAGGGAAAGCAGCAGAGAGTTGCCAACAGGAACTATTAATAAAATTTAAGAGAAAAAGTCCAACCATCAACAAAAACCACCTCCACAATACAGAAAATTTTTAAAAAAGTAATTTTAAAATGCTACGATAAGGATGAGAAAAAACAAGAAATAAATTCAGTCATCAGGTACACATTCTGGTATTCCCCTCTCCAGTCAAGTAATTCCCGAGTCGAAGGTATCAACCGCCATTCACTCCGATAAAAGCCAAAGGGCATGAAAAGCAAGGACCCCCCAGCACACGTCCTCTCTGTACATCCCTGGTATTGCTCAGAATTGCTGGGACAGAGGAGCTATGCATTTCCTGTTTATCTTTTTAAACTGGAAGTGGTTTCCAAGTAAGCAGCACGGATTCACCATCCAGAAACTTTATGCCTGTCCCCCTTTCGATACTAAATCTGTATCTATTTACCGATTTATAACCCTAGCAACGTTTGCTACGGCTACATTCATTCTGTTTTTAATACAGCCTGGTATAGACAATCTTAATAACGCTACAAAACCAGAATCAAATCAATAAGTCACTTTGCCGGGAGGAGCTTCCCTCCCTCCCTGCTCCTCGACCCCGCAGATTCCAGCTGTCTGCAGAAAAGCCAGCACTCACGAGAAAGGCTTTCAATCTGCAGCGCATCAGGGTCACACAAACAAACCACGAGAGGAAGGAAAACAGTCGCTGTCATTACTGGACAGGGAAAGGCAAGGCCTAGAAAGCCACCCCAAACTTTTACTACAATGAGAGTGAGAACAGAAAAATAGGTTGAACTTAAAAAGACCCAAACACTGGCAATCTCCATGACACGGCCAGCTTTCCAGGGGGCTGTAATGTCAGCTGACAGCTTATGCAAGACTTTATCTGCAAAAAAGCCAAAGAAATTCACTGTCTGCTACTCAGTTCCAAATAAAGATGGGAAACAGGCTTTTTTAGCTGAGCGATTATTTCAACCAAAATACCACCTTTCCCTACATATGTGCATCAGTCAGTATTACTGCGCTTCCATATTTTTCACTGCAAATTCAAAGACTACCTTTAAAGGCAGAATCCAGTATTTTGCAGCAAAAGGAAGGCACGTACCTAATAAATTCAGTCCTAACTTGGACAGAGTTGTGCTCCCTCACTTCAGGCCTGCTTTACCCCAGGGGAAATCAGTTATAGCATATCTTTACCTAAAACATTTCACCCCAGAACACTACGTGACTGTATCAGAGATTACACTGATCAGACACCCACAGCAGAAGCAGTCGTGCCGTCGTACTGAACTTGGTAAAACTAAAATCTTCAGAACTGGTTTCTCCTTCCCTTTCTTGCAAGGACCCGACTTCAGGGCTGCGAACGTGCTTTGCCACAGGATGTCACAACCACAGCCACGGCTCAGAAGAGAATTGCAAGGCCAGCGCAGGATCCTGAACTCAGCCCTTGCAAGGTTACCAGCTTTGCTTCAGAAAATTGACTTTGGCTGCGTTATTTCAGAGTGCTGGCCATACATTTACACTTCACTTTCCATCTACAACTGGGGAGCTACAACAAATTTAAAACAAACGACTGTTCGTAGTTAAAAGAGATTAGAACCCATTCCCCAAGAGAATGACCAACGAACTGCAGAAGGAGGACTGCATACTGGGTAAAATTTCCTTTAACTTTATGAATATTAAAGTGGATTAGGGCTTATGGTTTGATTTTCCACCATAGCTCAATTTTTCTTTCAGAGTGTGTATTTTCTTATTAAGTCACAGAAATAAAAGATGTTTTTAAACTCTGTACTTACTTGCTGCTTCCACCATCAACAAAAGGATTCCAATGTGAAGCAAAGTCAGTGCCAGCTGCCACAACCTGAAGATGCAGAAATTTTCATTTTTTCCCCCCCTCTGTCAAACTGAAGTACCTTATCCACAGCACATGAAGAGGCCTGGGAGATTCCCAAGCCCTGCAGAATGACCCATAAGCAGTAAAATAAAATTCCAAAGTGAAACAATGTTTTACAATCTAATTATAAAGCAGCTACTGAAAAGCTATCATCTTCTTCTTCTCAGACTTAAAAGCAGCACTTGGAAATGGTATAACGCCAGTATCAAGTGGCAATAAGTAACATGAAAGCAAAAATTTATGGTGAAAACTCTTATTTTCCACTCAGGGCACTTCCAAGACACTCTTCCAGCAAGAGAACATACAGTAGCCACCTCCAAACTCATTTGAGATGCCATCAGCGGAGGCTGGGAGCATTCCTGTCACTAGACGTGGCACTGAGGGGACCTCACCGGTAACAACACGTACAGATCTAATCAGTCACATTCAAAAAAAGATGAATTTGTACCTACCTGGTGAACAGCTGTAAAAAACAGGAATGGGATTTTTCTGGAGTGCTGAGCACTGATGTCTCCGAATCAAAATTAACGGCAGCTGTTGCTATTCACAACACTTATTAAAAAATGGAGCCCTTGTGTACACAGACACACGCTAATCCCAAAGAACGTTAATTAGCTGATCTGCAGTAAACTGCGGAGGGCTGGAACAAACAGCAGCAGCTCACAGGGGGCAAAACCGGCTGCATGCGAGCTGGCGGCCTTCCAAGAAAGAAGCGGCAAATAAACCCTGATGATGGGAAGATCAGGGACTCAAATGCAGAACGGCCTCTTCACATTATCAGATTAATAGGCACATGTCGTTTTTTCCATCTGAGCATGACTCTCCGCACAAAGCATGGAGGGCAATTCATTTTCTTAAAAATGTGGCAATTGTCTGGGGACCAAGAGTGGTCTTCTCGCGACTTTATACTTCAGAGACATATTACTTAGAGTTGAACCACAAAACAATGAAGACACTGTGATTTTAATAAATGAAGGAAAAAACAAACTTGTCCTTACCATTTCATCCCGAGCTTCTGTTTCTTTCCGTAGAGGGGGCTCAAACTGCAGCTTATCAACTGCAAAACATTACATTTTCAAATTTAATACACACAACATTATGCTAGTGCCCTTTCAATGCTTACTACAGTGAAATGCATGTTGTAACAGATCTAAATATTATGTACGCAACACTTAATTTGCCTATAAAATATGACCATCACTTAAATATCAGCATTATTGTCTAAATGCTTAAATTTGCAAATATGAAACCCACAAGAAAGAAACAGACCAAAAGTAAATACCAAGTCATTATATGAAAGTACACTAAAACGTAACTACATAACCACATGTTACTTTTAATGCGTGTGAAAGAGAAGAAGGAAGCTTTTTAACAGCAAGCTTCCTAAAAGTGTGATGTACGTGATGCAGAGGAGCGGACAGCATTTACGCTAGAAAAGACATTTGTCCAAACCTGGAGAAAGATCGTTTCTACCCTCAAAATTTCAACTTAGATCCAACTGAGTAGTGTATTAATATTGTTTTTAAAAGCAAAGAAAAGGTTATATTAAAAGAAAATGCACTATGTTAACACGCACCCCGGTCAGGACAGCTATCGCAATCACAAGCGCTCCATCAGCATCAAGAAAAGGTTTCACTTACGAACTTGAAACAATGTGCAGACAAACACAAAATGCTATGTTTTTTCTGTATTTTCTCATCACACCATGACACCCAATGTACTCATGTGAAAAGCTGCCCTCCTATTTATCAACTCACTCTCATTTTTTGATGTTTGCACATTATTAGTGGTTTTGCTGTTTTAAGTAAGGCTGGGTGGTCTGAAAAATCACAGAGCTGAAAGGCTATGCTGGCCATGCAAGGTTTCCACATAAACTTTACGATGCAGCAATGAGATAGAATGAAACAGCAGAAAAATATGCAAGTTTTGATTTCGGTTTTGAAAAAATATTATTGACGATTCGTGTGTATGTGCTGTTTCTTCTGGTTTTGTTTCTCAAATGTGCCAACAGCGGAAGAGACTTTCCGGAGTACACAAAAAAAGAACGACACCGACATCCTCCATTGGTAGAAGCAAACCAACACCACAAAATGGGCAAAGCACATCAGGAACTTACAGTTTATCTCCGATGCCGTTCTTTCTGCCCTAATGTTCCTGTTCGTAGAACGAATTGTATGGCGGATAACGGAGTGAGGCTGCAAGGGTTATAAACAGAAAAGCTGAGAAAAGTCGCATGGCTTTCTGTTGGATCTCAATCAACAATCAAACAAACAGGGAGAAAGAATAGCAGTCACAATCACACACTGCACATGCACCGCCTTGCACAGCCCGTGCACAGGATCCTTCTATACACCCACAGCATAAGTGCGACAAGCGCTATGGCAGTATTTCCTGGCTTCTCCTGCACGGTAACGCTAAAAATGGAGCTCTAAAAACATTGGGGCAGTGCCCCTGTCAAGCTGCAATCTTACATTCCCAAGGCAAAGCAGGGTACTTAAACTGTAGTTTTACCTAAAGACAGAAAACAAAAGATGTTCTCACCTCGAAATCATCATCATCAACTTCACTGTAGTGTGTATGGTTGTCAGGATTATTAACTTTGTCCAACAGCTCAACTGCTAAAGATCTTGAAAGACCAGGCTGCCCCACAAAGCTATGCTAGAACCGCAGAAAAGAACAAGTTATAATATGCAACTGATACTAACTTTCATTAATAAACATCCAATTACTGAATTTTGCCTGCTTTTGGGGGGCCTGAGTATTTCTTTAATGACGCCTTAATGGCTAGACTTTCTAACTCCTCCGTAAGCATGGAAACGCCACACTTTTGGCCACTTGTAAATTGGAAATTAAACTCTGAGTCAAACAAACAATTACACCTTAACTTCATTTTTCACATGAGTAGTTCAGTCAAGTTTAGGAAGGCAGAAATAGGTACATGAACAACTGCTAAATACATCTGTTTTCTATTTGGGTGACAGGAAGGGTCAACGTCTACGCAGCTATATCTAAGAGGCTGAGACACCCACTTGCAGAAAGGACAAAGCTGAAGGCAGAACATGAAGCAAATTTCTGTAATTGTTCCTACCAAAAACTGTATAAAAATCTTGATACTGAACAAAATCTTGCTACTTCCTACAGTTGACCAATGCCTCTTTCCTTCAGATTTCACCACCCGTGTTGTAAGATGAGAGAAAGAAAATTGTTCCAGTTTGGTTTCCTATTGGTCTGTTGCTCACTTTGAAGCAAGAGATCTCTTATTGATGTCACTAAGTGTTCCAAATCACTTACAGAAAGGAGTCTGTCTGCTGTCGGCCTCTTCTTTGGATTTTTTGTAAGTGCTATTTTGACAAAATTATGGAATGTTGATGACCTGAAAGAAAAATGAGGTTTTATATTTAACTTCTCAAGAAGATTTTTTTAATTTTAAACACAGTTACTAAACAGACTACAAAAGGGTGTGCTAAATTAGAATGTCGTCCAGGTACCTCATCTCAGGTTCAAATAATTGAATAATACATTTCCAAGTTAACAAAAGAAAAAAAACATTCGATTCATGGAACTTGCGTGGAAAACATTTTGGTACAGAAAATAAACCAAACACGTATGGTGCTATTTCAACTTTTTCCAGTTTCAATTGTTACAGAATTAGGTATCAGAAATAAAAATTGTGACTTATGTACCCAGTAAACCCTCAAAATCTAGGCAAACCTACAAATTTCACTGTTCTTGGCTACAGATAGGAAAATAAAATACAAAGTTCTAGACAGAGACTCAACTTACTCTTCAAAATGCTTTGTTGCTTTTTTCAGAGCAACTTAGGTGACTGTGTCATACCACGTCTTTTTAGATCCGAATTATGACTTGATGTTATGACTGGACCTACAATTTTTCAAGCATTTTTCTTGCAATTGCATTTGTGTTAGCATGCCTCTCTGGGGACAATATTAGCCCAAGTCTGCTTGCTTTCAAATCACCTTACAAAACACATTTCCTCTCCTAGTCTTAGCATCTGAGAAGGCGGCACTGGAGATGTAAAGTGCATCGGCTGGGGTTACACCGAGCAGTTTCAATACAGAAAACATGCACTTAGAAGTGTTTTCTCCCTTCCTCTAGCGCACATCTGCCCACCCAAACACCTCAAGGTAAAAAGATTGTACAGCAGCATCATGAGCAAAAAATCCTGCATACCAGGATTGTTTTGAGTCTCATAAATAAAATGTTAGTAAGTGTGGTACAAAATCCCGCAGGCACTAGGAGGGTATCACAGGTTAAAGAAATCATGAGAGGATTAAACGATTACCTGTCCCATTGACAGTGGCAAATACCCTGTAATAGGAATTAAGGGGAAAGGATAAAAATAATTTTTCTTCCTAGAACATACAAGGAGGATCCAAGAAGGGAGATTGCATTTCCCTCTGGATCATGGGCAGGGATAAATTTACATAGGTAGGACTGTCCTGTGCCTTACTGATGGTTTTCTGCCATGTCAGAAAACGCCTGTTTCCAGACCTCAACCCTCTCTCGTTTGCTTTCACACCTATACAAAACAACTAGTTGTTTCTCAGTGAAACTTCCTGTAAGCAAAATCACTTCTCAAGTTCCCAAGTTTAAAACTAGCACACGCTATTTTTCACTGCCTCGCTTCTTCAATAATGACAAGTACTATTTTCACATTATGTGCAAAATATTGAACAAAGGAGAGGGTTTAACCTACCATTTTGCTTTTTCCTTTAGCTTTGGCGGTTGAAAATTACTTTTTGACATTAAAAACAAAGCCCTAAAGGTAAAGGAAGATTAATGTTATTATATGGTAAAATATAATTAATTTCATTCCAATATCTAAACACTTCAAATTAATACTTCAGGATAACAATCATACTGGTGAAACTGAATTATAGTCTATACTGTGTTAGAGGACAGACACAGTAAAGCTGTTGATTTTCTTATAAATTACTTTTTGACATTAAAAACAAAGCCCTAAAGGTAAAGGAAGATTAATGTTATTATATGGTAAAATATAATTAATTTCATTCCAATATCTAAACACTTCAAATTAATACTTCAGGATAACAATCATACTGGTGAAACTGAATTATAGTCTATACTGTGTTAGAGGACAGACACAGTAAAGCTGTTGATTTTCTTATTTAAATAAAAGATCGTTTTATTGCCATGCATAATCCTGTTAAACATAAGGCTACTAAACACTTCAAATTAATACTTCAGGATAACAATCATACTGGTGAAACTGAATTATAGTCTATACTGTGTTAGAGGACAGACACAGTAAAGCTGTTGATTTTCTTATCTTTAAATAAGATCGTTTTATTGCCATGCATAATCCTGTTAAACATAAGGCTACAGCTTCTCTAGTGATTTACTACGCCTGTTCTTAATCACAGTTGTTGCTGACAATACAAAGTTGTTGGTTTTTTTTTTTTAAATTAAAAATTTCAATGATAATTTAAATTCTAAATTTAAGTCTGTAGCTTCAGACTGATGTCTTAAAACCAGACACAGCTCACGCAGAAAGCAGATGTTTGATGAAGGATTTCTAGTGTGAGTTTCTAGGTCTGGGCTATGGAGAAGGTTAAACTATATCTACTGGGACTGAAGGGAATCCTGGAGACAAGCAAGCTCCCCAGCCAGCAGACCTCATCGGGTGAAGATCAAACATGGGCGGCTGAAGCTCTGCAAGTTCAATCGCCGTTATGCCAACCGCCCAGATATCGCAGAGCTGGTTATATCCACCGTTCTTTTCCACCGCTGCAACTTCTGGGGCCATCCTTTAAAAGCAAAGGCATCGTTCAATGAGAGCACCAGCCACTTCTGAACAGTGCCCGCATGCGGGAGGCACAAAGCACGTCACGTAACCCTACAGCAGAAACCCCCTCAAAGAGCGCAAGTCAGGGAAAAGCCTGACGTCCCCCTCCCCTCACCCAGCATTAGGGGAGCGGAGAAGCACACAGAGGTGACATGCTTTGCCCGAGGTCATGGGCTGGACAGCAGCGCTAGGAATAGAATCAGTCTCATGATTCCTGGTGAAATGCTTTAATGACCAGATAATCCTCCTGCCCTCAGTCCTCCTTCTCCAACAGGATAAAGAGGGCAGCGAACAATTAAAAGCCATTGTCTGGATTAAGCTGTACGTACGCGTTCAGTCTATACCAAGAATACCGCCCTAGGCATCTCAACTGCACCACAGCAATGCCAGAAACCAACAGCAGTTAAATTTGCACATAGAATCCAGCTCAAGATTTACAATGATATATTTGCACATTAAATGCTGTCTTGTACGGACATTAATCAGTAGAGATGATTAAAAGATAGTTTAAAATCTGTTTTTCTTCACAATTCTTTCTGCACAGAAATCGAAAAGACATTGTTTAGTTTATTCACTGAAGTGGAAGAAGCTACTGAGAAACTGAATGACCATTAGGTATCCAGAAAAAGGGGAGAATGTTCTGCATTAATAAACTTGTGAGAAACAGCAATCCTGCCTCAATTATCAGGTAGCTTGTGTTACAGCCACAGATCAGCTACAATCACCCTTTTAGTTTAGACTTCTTTAGTTTAGTTTAGACTTCTACCCTTTGGGCGTTTTACTCGGAAGAAAGGGAATTTATGCAATTGCTATATATATATTTAAAAATATGTGTGTATACTTCAGTGTGTGTATTTTAGAATTCTTGGCATAAATACAGACTTAGCTTCGCATACAATCATAGCAATCAAAGTAGCTTATTACCAGTAAGGGGTACCAATAAATGATTTCCTCTTCGCAATGGTGGCTGTTATTTTTGCTGCTACACCGAAGTCAGCTGGAAAATAAAATTATCATAGACTTAGAAATCTCATTTTAAGACCCCAATTGTACCCTAGGAAGTATCATATTATGAAAGAACAATCACGTTTCTCATACAAATTAAAAATTCATTAAGCTTCAACAGCTAAAGATTAATAATGAGATCAGCGAATGTCTTCACTGACATGACTTCAAATTGAAAAGTTTAGTTTCTACATACAGCTCATTCATGATCCTGTTCCTCTCCTAGCTATTTTTCCATCTCACAATACAGCAACCAAGCAACCTCACAAAATTTAGTGGATATTCAATTTAATATTCAAGCGGAAAAATAGCATCACGCTTTGGAAACGGTACTATTTCTGTTACTTATGGAGGAACTGCGGGGGGCCATCTGTTCTCATTCCTGGAGACCCTGTCTAGGGGACAATGATCCCTTGCTCTCAGAGCTGCAGATAATCAGGTGGTCTTGCAGAGCCAAAAATCATTTAAATCCTTTTTTTTTTTTAACTACATTTGTATGATAGCTGGAGGATAATTGTGGGCAAATCTAACTAGCTTAGCAGGCAAAAGGAAGGTATCGGTGCATAACCCAAGTTTAATGCAGTTAGAGGAATCTCCTATCATTTCAAGGTTTTCACGTTTTCCCCCCCCCCCCCCCCCCCCCCTTTCTTTAAAAAGCCATACTTTCCTAGCACAGCACTCCTGGTTCACCACAGGGGAGTAAATGTGTTGAACCACACAGCTTTTCTGAAGACCAGCACTGCAGCTAATGCACAACCGCCCTGATTCCAACACTGGACACAGTAATGATGAGCATCCCATTCCTTCTCCCAGGATGTCTGCTCCCTTCTTCCTGCAGAGCCCTAACTACATGTAGGCTTCTGTGAAGTGAGGCGTCGGACAAGCAGATAGGGGTTTTGAAGGCAGCGCGCTCAGATAACAAGAGATTCAGTCTGTTTGTGCTGCGCTAAATGCAAAGCGTCACTGGAGGAAGCCAGTAATACAGCTCTCTGCTGAGTTTTCATCTGCAGACCTCCAGAGCGCTTGCAAAGGAGGAGAGTTTCCTCTTCTCCACCTGTGCGGAAATGCCCAACATCATACACTGGGCTAGAGGCACAGCCAGGATCAGACCCCACTTTTCCACAGGCTGCCAGGCTCAGGAGATGCTGTCTCACACAGTGGATCCTTGGAGGGTCTGAGGGAGAACTGCCATTCTAGCTAGCAACAAACATGTTGATGTCCATGTAACCCCAACCTGGCAAATGCCGGGGAAACCTGGGAGGCTTCAAGGCTTGGTGGTTCAAAAAAGAAATTATCTGCAACTTCTTGATAGAATGAAAAACTTCTCATCTCATAACATACACAAGCCCATGGATACGCACTTTCTATCGTCAACTATTGCCCCAAATAAGAATGCAAACATCCTACAGTGCAACACCAAAAGCCACTGAGAACAGTATCTAATAAAATTGACTGCAACAGTACAGGAGATCTGCTGTATTATGCTTCATCATTCGTAGCAAGCTTAATCTTTGCTGTGCATGTGCTGTTCAACACAAAACAAAGCCTTACAAAAGCTGAATATTCTTCTTGGGAGGCATGGTCTCTACATTCTGGCTATTTTTTGTCTCAATGGAATGATAAAAGTAAAAGGCAACTTGCTAAATCAAAGTATCCCAGCTGGTACTGTAGCTTTTGACTGAGCAAATTAAAACGTTCCCATTTGCTTTCTGTCTTATTATTAAATTCAGGCAACTTACCTAATTTGACATCTCCATGGTCTGTTAGTAGAATATTTGCACCCTAAAACATAATAAATAGAAAGGTAAAAATCTTTATCAGGAATATTTTTCTGCACTAGAAAGTTTAAGATAAGTTTTTCAAAGTTCCAAGTTACCTTTATATCTCTATGCATTTTGCCCTTCATATGCAAATAAGCAAGACCCTGGAAATAAGAGAGACACAACGCATCATTTTGCCATTTGTTAACATACTACAAAGCCAGTCCCATTTAACAAATTTAAATTACTCAATGTATTTTATTTGAAAGTGGAGAAATTTGAGATTTGCAGGTAAGAGGTACACTGGATTCTGGTCCTCATCTCTCCCAGCTCCAGCCAATACACGTGAAGACTCGTTTAAACCAGTCATGGCGTAACATTTTACATAGATATACGTGTATTTTCAAAACAAACCTCAAGATGTATCACCTTTTCCCTTTAATAAAATTAACTACATTTTTGAAGTCCTGAAGGTTTCAACAAGCAGGTGTTTAGCCTTTAAGCTGTCCTTCCAGCAATACGAGTCCCTGCTGTAAGAAGAGATCAGGAACAGAGCTGCCAAGCAGATTAGTTCACGGGTCTACACCCCCGCCTCTGGCAGTGACCAGTTCAGCCACCGCTTCAGGGAAAGGCGTGCATCCCTCTGATTCTCTCACATAATTATTCATGGATACACAGAGCAGGGAAAGAAAAGTTCCTTTAAGAAACAAGCTGCCTGCATCATCTTATCTTGTACTTCCACAGTTATTAGCAATCACAAAATGAAAGAGAATTTTAGTCATCTGGTTGCAGTATTTTCCCTCTACAAATTATTAGAATTTACTGCCACAGATCAAGCAGGCAGTTTAAAATGTGCCTTTTTTTTTTTCCTCTCTCTCTCTCCATTACTCAGCTACTTACCCTTGCTTAACTGGGTATTAGCTGTTTTCTGCAACAAGATTCAAAAATTTGTCCTAAACAACTGCTGCACTGAATCACTGTATTAGAACAATGGATGAAAATAGCCCAGACAACACTGTGGTCACAACCTGCGCAGATCTGTCTTCCACAGTTTCCCTGAAACCAACAGGCTCACGGAAGAAACAGGAGCAGGACTGAGGTTCAGTATTTTGCTCCTGCAGTGGGATCCAGAGAGACGTCTACTCTTGTGTAAACTCCTTTGCAAATTACAGCACAGAAGCAGCACTGCTCTGACAATGATTTTAAGCAGGTATTTGCACTACATTACTGGAATTTCTTGCTAGATTTTATTTACAATATGGAAACTAACAGGTTAACCCTGGTTAATTGGTTTCAGCTAGATTCCCAATGCTTACAAATGTAAGTGATGGTACCGCAGCACTTTCTGAAATCATCTCCTGTATCTACTTTCTATACATGGAGCAAACACTTTATCGTATACCTGCAGAAGTACAGTACCTGTAAAGTTTCTCTGCATACATATGCAATTTGTAACTCTGACAGAGGTCCTGTTACTGAAAACAAAGATCAAAAAGTGTGTAAGTCTACAATATACAACACATAAATAACACTGTGAAGCAGCCAAAAAGTGGTATCTCCATGAAAAAGTTAAAGACCGATTTTACATGAACTGTATTTTACATTGAGCTGAAAAGAGGGGTTTGTTTACTTGTTTTACAGTGGGCTCTCCGTGAAAAACCCAGCACAATAACAGAAGACAATACCCACAGCAAGAAGAAAACCCGTTTTGACAGAAATCTAATTATCATTTTACAAGTGACTTCATAGTAATGTAATATCCTGTACTCTGAGGAAGGTAAAAAACAATAAAAGTGACTTCTGCTAATTTTTTAATATTAGAAATGGCAATGTTCTATACTAGGAGCCTATGAGACTTTGAATTGTTTTAAAGCTGTTTGTACTAACTGGCTGAAAAATAAAGCAGAATGAGCTCTGGCATTCCAAAACTCCATGTTATCATTTAAAGGCAGAGCAAGACCCCAGACTGCTTTTCCAACAACTCCAATAAATACTTCTGCAGAATCAACAACTCTGGATGAAACCTCAGAGGGGAAAATAATAATAAAAGAGTGGTACAGTACTGCACGGGAGCAAGAACAAGTTATTTCTACCCTTTAAAGATCAAATGCAGGGATCTCCCAGCAGAAACTGCTTCCTCACACCATGTACAGTCTCCGTATCCAATTAGCGTGATTTCTGGTTGTGAACCTTTTTAGAGGTCTTTTTTCCACCCCTTCAGAAAGCAGATAACCTGCTTCTGCATATGGCATTCAGAGACACGGGCTGAGAGAAGCCAAGACACAGGCGAGCTCCCAGTGAACACAACTGCAGCTACTGAAGAGCTCTCCACTGGAATAACTCAAGCTCTTTGGGCGAGTCCCCTAAGCATCGTGGAGAAAAATAAACAGTGTGATGATTAAAAAATAAAGCATATTCTGCCCTAGAATGACAGGGTATTAGCCCAAAATGACGGTCACCGTATTTGAGAAGTGCTCTCAATGAAATCTGTTGACTGTAGCTAAAAACCACTGTTCATGCTCTAAGAAAAAACATGTGCAGTGCCCGGCCAGTACCAACCGCTCCCCGTTAATTTGCTTATTATTTATTTTTCTTCTTTGCAGAAAGCTTCCAAAAGGTACAAATGTTAAAATAAGTTTCAAAGTACCATGGTAAATATCTTGGAGGGATCCCCCACCGCAGTATTCCATGCATATCCACAGCTTCTCACGGCTATCAAAAGAAAGTTAAAACAGGCATCAGAAGCTGATTGATCTGTATACAGAACAGAGTTAATAATGATTATTTAAAGTATTTCCCATTGGTCTTGATCACTCTTTGTTAAAAATACACATTCTGATACATGACGAGCAGTTACACGTTTTACATAATCTCAATATAAATTCTTACCTACCAAAATGAAAATTTTATGCCAAAGTCACTGAGAAGTGTTTAAACATTATCAGACCTAAAAGGTGTTGCTTTAACCCTGACCTCCTAACTGCAATAAAGAACATGCAGAAGAAACAGCTGAGCTTTACCTGCTATCAGCAAGATTACATTAGATAAGATTGAAACTGCAAGTTTAGTGTGTTAAATTGAAATTACCTAATTTATAGCTAGACAACTCTTCATGGCCTCCAAAAGGGTACTGGGGATTTAGAAAATTAGCCATTCGTCCCAGTTGAAGTCCATTTGGGCTGTACAGATTACTTAAAAAACGCAGCCCTCCAAGAAATCTAAAGATGAAGCCTCATAGAAAAAGACCAAACAGGCAAAGTGGTGATATATATTCCCACAGAGCCAACTGATAAATGGCAGAGTTCCACAGAAATGGAAAATATTCCCCAGCTTTCTGTATAACATTTACCATGTGCAGCCAGCTGGCATCACCTTGTTTCTGCCCCTCAGTACGTCGCATCTGTTACCCCAGAATTATAAAAAAAATGTTACTACCAGCGGCTCAGATTTAGTGTTTTGCTCTTACAACTCACTGACTATACTTCCACAGCACACAAGTCTACCATGAAATAAAATACCTAAAAGCAATTCTGCTCTAGATAAATAACGAGCTAGTTTTATATTAGAAGTGATAAACATTTAAAATCCCCCCCGCAAGTGAGTAGGATTGGATATGTTGCAAGAGTCTCTAGGGGAGAAGTTTCCTTCTGTTCCTAGTGTTAAAATATTCCAGCCTTTTGGCCAGCAGAGAAAACAAAGTATTAGTCACTTTTCTTTTTTTTTTTTAAAGGCAACTGGGAACCAAAGGGAATTCAACCTAGAGAAGAACACCGAGAGAGGATATAAGTACTAAACCAGACTGAGCATCGTCTTAGGAAAGAACCAGCAGAAATGCAGGTATAAAAAGTGGGGTTTACCTGAGATAGCTCCCAAAATAGGCGACTATGTTGCAATGTTTGCATTCTTTAACCATATATATTTCTTGCTGTATCAATGAAAAGTCGTCTCCTGAAAAACAGGAAGCAGCCACAGTTACATCACACACAACTGCACATTCAAAGAGATCTGAAGGTATGCACATAAGTCATAAAAACAAGCCATGGACCTGGATAATCGCTAAGCCCTTCACAAGGGCTTTCCAGCACACCAGCCCGTTCAGCAAGAGTTATCTACATACACCACCCTTTCAGCTTCCATTCTTTATTACATGCTTCACGTGAGACACCAATATTTCTTGAAGACCAACAGAGAAGGGCTGGCCTGGTGGCCTGAACACGATCCATCAGTTAAGACAGCTCAGCACGCACCGAGAGCGCTTTGAAAAGGAAGCAGAGGGATCCCACGGTAGGATGGGAGCACGTGAGAGAACTCTGGAGCAGCCCCTCTATAGCCGTCAGATAGCCCCAGCTGGAGCCGATCTGACTTTACGGGGACACGGTGCTCGCAGCACAAGGGTCCCAGCGACAGAAGGGAAAAAATCGCTGCAAACTAATTCCAGAGTCCCCTGCCCGAAACCAGAAAAGATCACATACCACAGGCTCTTTATTAAAAGTATTTCATTTCAAAACGACTCTGATAGAGCATATGGCCTGCACGCCCACTCAGCCACCGCTGACTCAGAAGAGAAGCACAGAGTCCTCAGCACGGACTGCCTCGTTATGAGTGCATTTTTGGATGAGGACAGCTACATAAGCACGTTTGCACATCCTAAATATCCTTTGCAAAAAAAAATTCTACTGAAAAATATATTATGGCCAGAGCAATAACCTAGCATGTTCCTGCATCTTCATAGATGCAATGAAGCAAACTAAAATATCTGAGAGCTAGCAAAAACACTGGTATACTTTTATTAAATCCCATTGAGAGAACTTCCAAACAGAGGATGTTCTCCCCAGAATCTAGAGCTCAAACACCGCAGCTCTGCCTCCCTGAAGCTCAGGGCAGGCTTACACCCAGCCCAGCGCTGGGGCTCCTACGGAGGCACGTATCAGCTGGCTTCGGAGGATCAGCCTGAACAGCAGTGACATATCAAAAAACATCAGCACAGCCTGACAGCCTCCCTCTGAAGAGCAACATCGCAAAAAATCAGCCTGTTAGGCCATCCTAGACGTATGCCTCCTTTGTGATCATGCATATATATACACATTATTACCTTTATTCTTCCTTGGGCACGAACAAAACTTCTGTAACAGCTTGCAAGACATGAAAGACTAGAATTTAGATAAAGGCTTTAGGTTTTAGATAAAAAGCTGCTCTAGACAGTATGGTAGCTACCATGTTCTCTCAAGGAAAAAATTGCTCTGTGTGTTTATTTTTGTTTAAAGTTTCACTAGTAAAAGTTATCTCCTACTATCAAAGTCAGGGATGCGCAACCCAGAAAACTGTACTGCTTTGTACTGCTCCCCTTAATTTATACGATTTTGACAAGTCCAAGAGGTCTCAAGCACTGCTGTAAACGCTCTTTGGACTTTTTGCGTGTTTATTTAACAAGAAACAGCATAGCTAATATTTTTAATAACCTCTTTAACAACAGAGGTTTTTATTTGCTGTGCTTTGAAGCAGCTTCCCTGAGCAACGGTGTCACTGGCGCCCGCAGGACCCACAGCAGCCCATACTGATGTACAGCCCCACGGCATTTACAATCCCTTGGGAAATCCCAGCTCTCCATACATACACCAGTACGTAGTAGGTGTTTGCAGATATAGCAAAAGAAGTGCCAATTTGGTATAACAATTCCCAAATGATCACAACCTTTATGCCTCAATGATTACCAGACTTTTACTTGAGAAAATAACTATGAAATACAAAGGTAGAAGGGAACACACTTGTATGAATACATCCCTGACTGATTTCACTAAATCCTCACGGGCTTCTTGAAGTTGAATTGTACGGAGAAACACTTCACCGGGGCAGGAAAACATTAGTAGAAGAGTCTCAAATGTCAAGAGTCTTTTTTTTTTTTAAACATAAGTAGTATTTTTTTTAAATAATGAAAAAAAGAAAAGGCAACACAATTTCCATAAATTTAGCACAGATTTCACACTGTGCTTGCTCTATGGGTTACCTTTCAGCTACAACTTTGCTTGAATTCATGCACCCTGTCTATAAACGATTACTATGAACAAAGGATTTCTGAGTTTGTGTCAGACGGATTCATTCCTCCCATCTCTCTGACAAACTTCCTAAGGGAAATTGTTGAATGCTCACAGATAACTAACTGGAGCATTTTAAAACTACAGAAGTTTTTCAAGAAAGCCAAATCTAAGCCCGTTTGAAGGCAAAAGCCTCCCAACCCCACACCAAAGAAGGTACTGTCTCTCTCTAACGCTACTAGCTGTCCATGAGTTCAGAGTATAGAATGCCAAATACCCACGCTCTCTTCTTAAACTGCCACCTTCAAATCAAGTCATCTTTGATATGTCAGAAGCAGCATTTCAGAACAGTAGATACTGTCACATGTGAAAATCATGATCAAGAATCTTTCCCATAACAGCAAAAACTTACAGGCAGCAGCCAGAATTGCCCGTCGATAGCACATCGATTGGGCTGCCTAGTGTGGAGCAACAGGAATGTCAGTTCCAGGAACCATGACTAATGGGGAAAAACTGAAGGAAATACAGTGATTTGGGCTAGAAAAAGACTGACAGTAGAAAAGATAACAACCTTCATATGCACATAAAAGGTATCAGGGAAGGGGGGAGAAGGGATAATCCGTTCTCTGGTTTTATGATAGGACAATTAGCAATGGCTTAAATTGCCTTACTCTGTACGTTCCCTGTACAGATGAAAAGCTTTTCCTACCAGAGTAACATCGCAGCACTGAACTCGAAGGCATGGGAAGCTGTGACATTTCCCACCAGTGAAAAAAAAAATGAAGAAAACACTCAACAAGCACCCATCAGGAGTGACTTAGGCTGATCCTGCCTGTAGCAGAGGAAGGCAGAAAAGATGATCTCTTGATTTGCAATTAATAAATAGAGAATTGATGCAAAAAAATGGGGTTACCTACAGAAAAAGGAAAAAAAAAAGGATTTGGAAGAGGAAAGGGGGCTGCAGGCTGAATATAGACAGCCAGCTGACAGAAAAGTAGCAGACAGATAGAAAGGAGAAGTATCCACGAGAAAAGTTTGGCTAAAATATGTAGAAAATGGTTGTGAAAGATCAGACGCAGAGATAGGAGAGAAGCTGTATAGTCGTTCAAAGACGACAAGAATGAATTCAAAACAAAGGAATTCAGAGTTTCCAGGCAGCTGGAGTATTAATCTTGGCAAGAGACACTGGAATAGGGCAAAAATTAAATATCCTTGGATAGCATGAAAGAAGACAGTAAGACAAAGAATTTGTAGAAAATACTTCATCGAGAGGGAGGCAGCAAGATATACAGAATTAGATCAAAGGTGACAATATATCCATACAAAGAGATTTTCATCTGTTTTAGTCATCAGAGATTGCCTGATGCTAAATAACACGGAATTGGAAAAATGTACTTTTTGTCTACTCACATGTTTGCAATTATGGGTTATGTGGCATGCTGAGCAGAAACGGCGTTTAGGGAGCTGCTGTAAATCACACGAGCAGCGTGGTGAGTCACTGCAGCTTGCTACTATTATGTAATTTTACCTCTGCAGCGAGACACAGAGGACACAATAGAGCGTTACAATGGAATATTCTCCCCCGATCACAGCCCGCGTCGAGGCTGCTCTGCTTGGCACAACCAGCTGCCTGTCCTCCAGCACAGCTGGCAGGGAGGAGACTGCTGAAACTTGCAGCCGTATCATCGTGTGATGCGATCGGACCAGATTTCAGAAGCTAAGCAAGGTAAGGCCTGGTAAATTCATGATAAATCCGTACTTAAATGGGAGATCATCAAGAAAACTGATGGCCTGTTAACACTAGTGAATTATTCTACTTGTAGACACTGCTTCTCACCTACGTGGAACTGGCATGTATAGATGTCCTGCCAAGTTGTCCTAGATGGAGAGCATGTGTATGCTGGATCCACATACCCCACTCTGCATCGTGGGAAGGCTCCGATGGCTCTAGTGCCTATCACACAGCACTATTAGGTCTTCTGAGCATGCCTGACCTTGATGGTTTTTAAACAAGTTTACTCCTGGTTGTATTTTCATGTGCTCTACTGACTGCTTTGAGTGGTTCCATCCTGCAAAAAGACCCAGGGCTACTTCTCACAACTCCTCCTGAGTCAGCTGTGAATCACTTTATTGTCCAAAAGGCTCCTCAGGGGAGAAGTTCATAGTTACTGTTTTAGATTGGTTTATTCTGCATTACTTCAGTGATGCATCACAGGGCTGATGCTCTGCGGGAACAGAGGGAGGGACGGGCAGGCAGCATCCAGGGCTTGCATGCAACTGGGAGGAGGGAACTGACGGCATTTGGAGACATTCACGGTGTCACCAAAGGGTGGGACAGAAGCATTTATTAAGAAGCCAGATCTTGAAGGTGCCAGCCAGCCTGCCAGCACTCCTGCCCCAAGCTAGTGCCCTCAACATGCAGTCCTCACAGGCCCCAACACGCTAGACGGACATGTCAGGCTGCCTGGCAGGAGGTGTGACGTGCACTCCAAAGCCTACCCGCCAAGCCTCTCTGGGGAGCTTTACTGTAGATACTTTCTTTGCAGACCTGGGATTTTTAACACTATAATTAACATTTGTTATTTAGAAGTGAGATGCCGTTTAGCAACGGGACCAGGTGGACACTGCTCCACGGGACGCTGAAGGACGAAGAGCAGGGTCACACCACTGCTGATGAGCCCAAACGCTCTCACTGTATTCACACAACTCGCCCAAGAGATGCCTGCCTCCTGAGTTAGCAGAAGCAACTATTGCCTCTGCTGGGACCATTCCTCAAATGTTTTTTATTTCAACAACCTGAGTTCCCGAACAAGGAGAGAAAGCCCCACAGGAGTCACAACTTTGCAGAAACCATTCGCCCCATTACACAAACTCCACAGCCAAGCAATATCCACAGGTCATCAGCTCCTCTGCATT